CTTCTGTGAGGGCCCAGGGACTGGAGTCTTGTCCCAGGCTGCTGGCAGTGGAGTTGGTGACAAGAGGTAGGCATCTGGGCCTTTCCTTATTTAAGACCAGGCTGCTCCAGCCCCGGAGCCCTGGTGGTGTAGTGGTTTCACGTTGGCCTGTGATCCGAAAGATCAGCCGTTCGAAACTACCAGCCACTCCACGCTTTCTACTCCTGTAAACAGGTACAGCCTGGGACACTCACGGGGCAGTTCTACCCTGTCCAATAGGGTCACTACAAGTTGGCATTGACTTGATGGTCGTGAGTGGTAGAATGGTAGTAGCAGGATGCCAGCCCCTGGTCTGGTTCAGGTAGGTCTCCCACCAAAGGCCCTCAGGGGTGTCTATCTGTCTGTCTGTCTGGTGGGGCAGGGAGCAGTGGTGCCTGCAGCCTTGTCCTGGGTGCCTTGGCAGGTGGGGGTGTTTCCTGGCCCAGGCTCTGGCCAGCCTCTTTGACCAAGGTGTGGGGCACCCACTGAGGAGCTTCAGGGCGCTTCCCTTTGGCCTTGATTAGACTCCTTGCCCCAGAACCCTCCTGGGTGGGGAGCTGCTGGACGCAGCAGGCAGCCCCCTGGCTTATCCTTTCCACCTGCCTTTGCACACCAAGTCTGGGAGCTTAATGAGGGCTGCAGGGCGCTTCGTGGTTCCAGCATTTTCCTTTTTTCCTTTTTTGGGAGCATCCCCCTAAGTTAGCGTGCTGCACTGAAGGACCACCCATCTCCAGATGAGAAGTGCCCTGCCTCTAGGTTCACCTGTGTCCCAGGCCCCAGGGGATTTGGATGGTCCTGCTCTCCTGGGAATGGAATGCCTGCTGGCTCTGGTTCCCAGGATGAGGCCATGTTGCCACACTTGGGCCACTTACCAGTTACACGTGGCTGACTGACCATGCCACCCCGGGTTTAGGCTGCTGACTGTGGGAGCAGATGGTCTGGAGTGTCCTGGGGGGAGGCAAGGGGGAGTGGTCCTCTCCCCCAGCATCTTCATAGCTGCCCTGGCTCTGTGTGTGTGTGTGTGTGTGTGTGGTTCTCTACCTTCATGTCTATCCCTGTGAGAACGCGGCGCGTGCACCCTGTCTATGCCCGAATGCATGTGTTTCAGTGTCCGTGTGTGTAGTTGCATGTGTGTCCCGGTGTATGCGTGTGCCTGTTTGTGTGTCTGCCAGTGTGTGCTTACCTCTGTGTGCACACGTGCGAGTGTGCAAGTGTCTGCGTGCGTGGCCTGAATGTGTACGTGCTGAGGGGTTCTGCT